ATACTATTTATGTTAGATTCTGTATTTTTTTATCGAATTTTTATGCGAGAAAAGTTAAACAGAGAGACTGATTGAAATATCTCTTTGAACAGATGCTTCAAGAATTTTTCAGCTCAATTAATCTCTTAGCCATTTCATGCTCACTTATAACAGCATGGCGAAGAAGTGTATCAGACAGACATAAAGGGACTCGTGCGCGTGGGAAAAGGGGGCGGGGGTCCTCCACTTACGGAGTCTATCAAAACGTGGTTGGTAGTACGCGGGGCACATTGCATCCTCCGTCGGACTCCCCGGCGTCACCGACAATGCGTCGTTCAATGGCACCTAATTCGCAACAATGGCCCCAGCAGCCATATATTAATGGTCCGTGGCCCGTATATACTCGACAGCGAGCATTATATTGCCCTCGAGAATCCTGCGCTAGTATTAGAGTCGCGAATCCGTATACTATCCATAGTAACGTTCCATGGATTTCGACACGCGCAAGCTTTCATATTGTATGTCTGTGTTACGTGTGCATTCGTGTAAGTTATCGGAAGCGCAGCATCCCGGACGCGCGCATCTCTCTGCAGATGCGACTCAATTTCGTGGATGACAAATCGTGCCCGTAACGCTGTCGGGTGACGATTAAAGGGCGCGGCCCCCGGAATTTAATGGCGCGTCTTGATTTCGATTAGGGTAGAATAGACCGGTTTATGAATAATAATAACAACGTGTGCTACGCGCCACGGAAAAGAGGTGCGAATGCCCGCTGCGGGCAACACTGTGACGGGGTTCCTATTAATCTATTCTCATTGGCCGATTAATTTATCAAGCTCTAATACACAGTGATACTACGGCGCGATAATGCGACATTAAATTGCAACTGCGTGCTCAATTTAATTTGTTGATAGGAGAAAGTCGTTATTTCGATCGTACACGTGCTTCTCGATTAACAAAATTAATTGAATACATAATACAATCAAGTATAATAATAAAAATATGTATTTTTTAAATAGAAACTTTTCAGAAGCATGTAGAAAATATTTCAATATCAATTTCAATATATCAAAGATCGTCGAAATGCAATCGTTTCAAACAAAATTCATCATGAGAATTCTGTAGGATACATTATAAAATCCACCGCGTTTGAACTAATTGAGAACAACCATCGGAATGATATACACGCGAATTATGGAACTTAGCGAAAACATCATGTTGTTGCTTGGGGTAACTGTGGTTTCCGTAATTAACGAGCGGCGATTAAATGCGTCTAATTCTAGGTTACAGGGCGGATCTCGCTAATTTTTTCTGTGCATTCCCCACGGCCATGCTAATCGATACGTCGTTACGATATATTAAAATGCATTTTTTGGTCGTGTCGACAGATCGTTCAGGAGCGCCGGTAAATCTTGCGCTCGAGCGAGCCGCGTTTAGTAATTATCAGTCTAATTATTAGCGTTCTAAATTATAGCGACTAGCACAGGGTTATCATTACCGGGCCGCGATAACGAGTTTCCCGCGCAATTATGTAAAATATTCCTGTTTATTTATACAAAATGAATTACACGTCGGGTCTATTTGAAGTGGCGCGATCACTTTGCTCATGTCGCCTCGTCGATTCGTCATAAAATGGCTATTAACTCTTTACACGCGATTTATAAGAAAACTTATACTTCCTATTTCTAAAGCACCGTTTTCTTTACACTATCTTAAACTAGATTGGACAATCTCTTACTTCGAGATTATGTTTAATCATAAGATTTCTCTCTCTCTCTCTCATAATATTAATATACTTTATAAAACAGCAGCTCATATAATATACATCAAAGAAACTGGTGGAGCAATCGGAATATATTAGCTAATTTGTATCAATCGTTCCACATTATTTCCACTTCTCACATTTCTCAAGACAGCTTATGATGTAAAACTTTGTATTTTCTGCGGTTAGATGACCCAACAATCTTAAAAATTATGATAAGTTGCTTTGTCAAACGATGTCAAACCCAAGCAGAACATAAGTTATCATAACATCAAAACAACTTTAAAATGACTCCAAAAGTATTACTAAAATCATTTTTCGTTTCATTACAATTCATTTTAATGTTATTATGATTTATGATTTATTTATTTGAAAATACCGCCGTCGTTTTTTACGTGATTAGATTCGCAAAAATTTTTTCCACAATAAGAATTTTGCTGAAAGATTAAAAAATTTAGTTATAAATTTAGATTTGAAAATAATTTTGTTGGATTCTCTCAGAATAATTATGTAGGAAATTCGAATATGATGAGTAATTGCTGCAAAATATTTTGATAGCAATCAGCTTGAGCATAATTTAACAAATATTTTAATAGTTTAACAAAATTATTTTTAGATCTAGAACAAATATTTAAATAGTTTAACAAAATTATTTTTAGATCTATATTTAGCTAAATTTTTAGATAGACAGTTCAGCAAAACTATTCTTTCCGTGAACTAGTTAAACTTTTGTCTCAGACACGAGCAAATTAAATCGTTAACCCGCATAACTGTCCTCCGACTTGTAATTTGTATTTATGGAATGTTTGCGTTCAATTCGGTGACGTTATCAGCATTATCGCTCGATTTATAGCCTGGAGAAACGTAATATCCTAGGAAAAACATGCCCATTCAGTGACATGTATGAATCAGCTAGGCGAGAAGTCGCGGGGGAAGGGTGATTTTATCTGCTTGCCTATTAAGAAATATTTATACTTACAGTCCACACTCTCTCCCGCCCTGTATCGACCAGCCGTTACAGATTGTACTCGCTGACAAAATGACGATTTACATTAATTTAGATAAGTCGATTAGGTCACCACCGAGATCTCGCTTCGTGAGTAACGCGTGATTATTGGACTCTCGATGGCTCTTATCGCCAATCACGTAGATATCCGATAATGAGAATGCCCGGCAGTATATATCCTGAAGGTCCCGTGCAAACGCATAATTACGGTTGTAATTAATTAATACATATATTTATTGTATATAGCAGATTTTATCAAATTAAAGATCTTATATTTTTAAATTTATACTTTACGAAAGCTATTTTACATGCAAAGTATGAATCTGTTTCCTAAATTGGTCGCTTTATGATATGATATCTTAATTTATTAATTAACTTTAATCGCAGTTAGTCGCAACGATAAGTTTATACTCGATCGTAGAAAACCGATCGCGTAATTCGA